TATATAGTCAAGACAGAATAATTGTGTAAGCACTCACATGTCTCAGTGCTGTTCTCTTCTCTTGCTGCAGGTCCAGATTTCTCYTACGATTTGTCAATAGCAGCACGGAAGCTCTCATTGCAGCAGCGTCCTCTGATGATACCTGAGTGCATCCTTTGGACGTTGATTTTATCTCTCACAGTAGCTGCAGCAACAGCCCTCTGAAGGTTTTCCAGGGAGCTGGAATTTTTCAGACCCAATGTGGGTCCWACCACTTGCTCTGCAGAACCTATGGAAGTAAGAAACAGTGTCAGTCCACCTGACCAGTGTGTCTTGTCTGCCTAATTATTTACTCAAGTTCCGATGAACTGYTACTCTCATTGCCTCAGCACCATGTTTAGCACCTATGTATTTGTGTAGCAACACAAAGTTACACATATGTTGAAATCACAGAAACTGCTATTGTTCTTTTTTTAGAGTTACAGCTAGAGCAAATAAGTTTACCCACTGACTACATGCTTCTGGTATCTGTAAAAAGGTGAAAAATAAAGCTRTGTTTGATGTAAAGGATGTCAGAATAAACAGTTATTAATAATGATTTAAAAGTTGATTAATTTATTTTACCAGCCTTGTATACTCTCAAAGGGAATAGTAAAATGTTACCCAGAGAGGCAATATGTCTTCATAACTCACCGCAAATTATACGTATCTTTCACAAGTAACATACGTAGATGTGCTGTTGTTTCTTTTGTGGTTTCAGGTGGTATAAATAAATGTGTTCAACACAATTTCCTGCTGGTTTTCAACAGTAAACGAATCTCGATGGTCTGGACTCAAACACARATGCAAACACTTTGTGTGTCCCATATAGGGTCTCTCCCCAAGGAGCAATAACACACAACTGCAAAAAAATGAACAGGATCCGRGTCATGTTTAAAGTGGACTAAATGAGGCATATCCCACTGCTGCTGGRGACCACGATGGATCTTAAGACAAAGAAAACAAACCCTCTAACTGAAAGAAAATAATTTGCTGTATGGGAAAACCAGACTCTCACTGTCCACTCATGGGAGCTACAAAAAAAAAAAGACAAAAAGAAGGGAAAGCAATGTTTGAAGAACTAGAAGAACATTATACTGTTGTTAGACATTTTCTCATCTTCTACTACACTTCTCATTGTACTGCTCACAGATTGTCTCATTTCTCTTTTGTCTATTTGATCATTTCACTGAGTAAAACTGTAACATCTCACTAGTATTTACACCACAATGTTTCTATGTTTCTTTCTARCTACCACAAAAACAAAAAGGTGAATGAAGAATTGCAGAGCATGGTTCTGTATTCATTTGTGATTGGAAAGCCTGAGTTGGATGTTGCAACCACCTGGTAGGAGCTCTGCAYTTACTTACTTTAGAGCACATGCGACAAACTAAAGGCTCATGGGCCATATGGGCCAACACATTTTTTGTGGTCTGTGAGAGCTTAAAATATGTATTTATATATTTAAAATAATCGTATGCTTCTTTAAAGACAACATTAGCAGTAAATTACATCTCCAAAAATGCATATCGGTTATTTTACCAACAAAATGATGGCATGCCACAACTAGGTGGCAGTGCAGAAGGTTCATAAGTAGCTGGTAGCTACCAGCAGTCAGTGAAATTTGTTGTGTAAAGTTTCCACGTCACTCTATTTTTGATGGCTTTTGCAGTGGCCCAGTTATACTGGTGTTACATTTAAACTGGAATGCCCCTCTAGTGGGAATTCCTTGTCAGAAAGTGGGAAAGTTCAGAATTTAAGACAGCAGTTACTCACCACAACTCAACAACAGTGAGTAAAACTCTTACTTTTACTTTTAATAGTGCTTCTGTTTTATTTATTTCATGTTTAGTCAGTCATACATYTAGTATTTTTAATGTTAAAATACTGTTTTATGCAGGAAATACCACATAGAGCTCAGTTATTTTTTGTTAGCTGTGCTCAGCTGTAGCAGTGAGATAAGGAAGAGATGTTTAGTCAAAGTTTAACATAAAAAACAAGGTAATTACAATTGGCTCTTTGAGGACCACCATAATGCTCATGTGGCCCTTGGTGAGAATAAGTTTAACATCCCTGCTTTAGAGGGCTGACATGATGGCTCTGCAACAATCCTGTTGCCTCATGCTTAGGCAACATGCCTCATGAGGGTGACAATCCTGTTTCAAATTCTCAAWGTACAAGCAACACAACTTGATATTTTTTACTGCTGGCACCATGACACACACACACACACACACACACACACACACACACACACACCCCCACACACACACACACACACACAAGTGCCTCAATTCATAACCACTGCAAACCTAAATCACCACAAGAATGCTACACAAGTTATCAATTGTGGACCTATCATGCTCTGTCACATGTAATGGAGAAAACACTACATGTTTATTTTATGTTTAGGATCTTACCAACATGCTCTAAAAAACCATCCACATTCTAGAGGTTATTTAACATTACAGTAGTAGCCTAAGTCTCACTAGCATGTATGCCATATAGGTCAATTAAAGTAAAAGTCAGTAGTTAGTCTTTGGATTTCCAGAAGAATAAACTTTTGAATACTGTGCACCATTAAAGCACACTCTTTTTTTAAATCTTTTTTCCTCAATGTAAATGAAGGCTCTCAGTCTCAAGARAACCTGTGCTCTCCCCATCCAAAGACAACCTGCATCAATTCTGTAAATGTTATTCAGAGCCCAAATCCTATTTRGCTGGATCCCATCCACTTAAGTTTATATTTACACTTCCAAGCTGCATCTGACAGTAAATTAAAAAATTTACTATGTGCTGCAAACATCTAGGGAGGTCAGGCTTCTGCAAGCAGCTGCAGGAATATAGTTTTTATTTCACTAATAAGTTCATTGGAAGAGATGGGCAATTTCTGATTACTAAGAAAAACAAAGTCAAAAGAGCAAAGACAGATTTACAGGTATAACAGAAAAAAACAAGCAAAGAGGATTGTAATTCATTTACTTAGAGTGAGTAATGGAAGAAAAGGCCAACAGAGAGTAAACTGGGGAAAACGTTTCATTTAGAAAAGTATAGATGTGGATAAAATGACAGGTTTACTTAAGGGGAAAACTCTATAAACTTTTAAAAGCATACTAAGTGTTAAGACTGTCAAGAACTAACACGTAAAAGGTAAAGTGCATTTTTAAAGGAATGGGATTGTGAGTTCTACAAGAGTTGTGCATCATGCAACAGTTCAAGGAAACCCAAATAATGTCTGCTGGACCTATACGGGGAATTATCCTTCTGCCTTTGTATTCTGCCCTTCAATCCCAGTTATCYTTGTTTCTAGTGAACGCAGTGGATGACTGAGAGAAGCAAAGGCACAAAGAGAATGGATGAGTGCAGCAAAAAGGGAGAGTTTGCACATAGACCCAACTGCCTCAAACCCATCTTTGTTTTCATCAGAGGCAGCCTTGGCTCTCCTGGGAGACTTTGACGGACAGCTCTCTGTATACCAGTCTATTATGTGATTCCTATCACACAACAGAACCCCCAGTGCTCTTCTACTAATCTCGTTCTCATTCAGAGGACAGAAAATACATATTCCCCCTTTGCATACAGACATGAGTTTGCCACTCCAGACACGTCTGGAGGAGAAATTAAAATCATGAAAATGAAGTGAAGGAAAAAAAAAGACAATTAAACCAAATAGGAGGGAAGTACACCTTGAAATTCATCATGGTTGCAAACAATATTATATATTAGCCAGTGTATTCTGCTTAAGCGTAAGGACAAGGACATGCTACTGGAGACATCCCATTGCTCTTAGACATTGCTGTAGAGATATGGCAAACTCCATGAATAAATAAGGAGCAGTTATTACAGCGACAGGAGTCTGTAGAATAATTAGAGTGGCTAAAACTATGCTTACCAGCCATTATTCACCACAGGCCCTTGCATGTAAAGATCTGTGTACAGACAGYTTCTCCATTACATATAATTTATTCAGAGTCAGGGTTTTAAGCTGGTTGCTAAAAGGGCAATTATGTCAAAAATAACCTCTGAGGTGGTCGTGAGAATGCCGTGTGCAGGTACGTCAATGAATGTGAGGCCTTCCTGGGTCACTTGTGTAATTATGGTTCTGCTAGCTGTGGATCATTAGCCAGACAGAGGATGTCCTCTGTACACAGGAGATGCCACAATATACTGTATGTATTATTTTTTACCTGAATTTACGATTAAGGGTTATCAGCTTGTCTTCTGAAGAGACCCTGTGTTGAAGGCTAAGTGGATCTGGGTTCGACTACTCAACATAGGCTGCATTGTCAAGTGCAGGCCCACTGAGAAACTTGCTATTTCAGCATTACTTTAATGAAAACTGTAATTTGTTTTAGGTTAAACGATTGTCAGTGTTTAATGGAGGACGTGTTAAAACTGTTTAGCCAAAGTTAAACATGAAACATCAAAGTTCATTACAAGTGGCCCTTCGAGGGCCACCATAAGTCTCATGTGGCCCTCGCTGAAAATGAGTTTGACACCCCAGCCCTAAAGCATGCAGGATAGTGGCACTCAAGGACCAGGATTGGACACTCTTGCTATAGGATTTAAAAACTTGTCACGATACAATCACATTCTGATAGGTTGAACATGATGTGGTCACCAACCATTTAGTGTAAAGGTGCCCTTTCTCGGGGGAAGTTGCTATTTTACCTTGAAGTCCACCTACACTGCTATAAGAACATATTTTTGTCCTGAAAAATCATTGTGAACAACATGTATGCTCACTGATGCTTGAGATCCAGTTATCAGTTCATTTTGCTAATTTAATGGGTTGAATGCACTCTAATGTGCTCCAGCCATATTTTAAAAGCAGCCTGCCTGAGATATATCAATTGCAGAGAGCTGAAGAGGCCAACTGGCAAATGACATCTATCTTTTGAAAATGCCACTCTATTGCCTGGCTCTTTTCAGCCCCTCATACTTCCATGGGTGTTAAGTGTTTGTTTCCGTTTGCACCCAGAATAAGCACAATGACACAGYTTCCCACATTTGTTGCCAAGTCTCCATTCAGTGACACAGAACTCCCTCACAGCAATGAGAAAAGCTTTGTTGACTTTGCTAAAATTACGCCTCATTTATTTGCTTGTTGCATCTAAATGAGTCAAGATCACACAGTGAATAATGGTTGYTTATGAAGAAATAATATTTATTTAGTCACCTATTGAGTCACCTTGACCATCAGAATGGTGGACCGCAGTCATGATGGCAGTGTACTGAGCTTTGCTTAGCATGGCTGCTGACCTCCAGTGGTTCTCGTGTTTAAAATATGCCAAGTTATTAGGCACATGCAGGTAAAAAAGGAGATGGACTCAGGATATATAGGACAGATACATTGATCTAAGTAGAAAAGATCTTACGAATGTCTAAGAGAATGTCCATCATAAGTCTTAAAATACAATGCGTCTGGATTGTGACAATGTATTAAAACTGCCATTTGTGGCATCTCACATCTCTTTCTTCACCTTTCCTGATTTGTATTTTCAATATTATTCCCCATTTAAAAGGAAGTGAGCTAAAGGGTAGATATGTTTAGTATATGTCAGTGATGACAGGCTTCAAAGTCATTGTGTCTCTCTTGACATGCTTTAACAGCAAGTAAAACATGGTAAAAATGACTGAAAAAATTGATGGATGTCAAAATACCAACAAAGATTATTATTATTATTTATTTTTATTTTTACCAGAACTATCTACAGTATATAGTTAATATTCACAATGGTGGGTTATTATCGTATTACTATTATTATTTTTTGGAAAATATTCCACTAACATTGTTCGGTAAAGTAATGTCATGAAAATTTATACAATCATGATRATTTTGCTCTTTGGGGTACTATTATATCTTACCTGTCCTTATCTGAGATCACATTTTATATACATAGTATAATCTACCTAGGTGTGAGTGAGAGAGTAAATGGATYTTTATGTGTGGCCCTGTGATGGACTTGAGACCTGTCCAGGGTGTACCCCACCCCTCGCACTGTGACTGCTGGATATGGGCACCAGTGACCCATGCAACCCTGAAAGGAAGAAGCGTGTGCAGAAAATGGATGGATGGATTGATAATCTACCTATGAGAATGTAGAACACAAATAATTAAATCTGCAATTCCTGGAAGTCTGGACTGAAACTTGAGCTAAATACTGTATGTATTGAAAAGAGCCAAACCACAGGTGGTCTTTGAAAAAAGGTGGGAAGCAGAGTCTTAAATTGCTGCTCTTTAAAAGTGGTACTTAGTTCCAAGTACATATGGTAATTTGCAATTTTTGATGTTGAGGAATGTCAGTTTGAACTTGTGAGTGATTTGTTTGACAGTGTTGGAAGTATTTGTGTGCTCTATCTTGTTTTAATGGTCATGGCTGACCTAGAGAATCTTCTATATGCTGACCAAATATTCTCTGTGTTTGGCAGATCATAAACATGCGAGCAAGTTTTCTGTGCGACATAGAGGTTGTCTCACTGATCCCCATATTTTAAGTTAGTCCCTGATCCCAAACACTGCTGAATCATATACATACATACAACCATATTCTGCCTCTTTTGCTGGTTTGATGGCCTGCAGTGAAATATTTTCATTATCAAATAAAAATTGTAGATAAAAATAAATATGTACAAAATTAATAATATTGATATCTTGTTCTGACATCTAAACTAGATGGATTCAGATATGATACGTTCCTTTTTTTCAATTTCAACCTCAAACATCTGATAAACACAACCTTTTTTATCACCCTTACTTTAATGAGTGTGGTTTTCAGCCTAAACA